TGGGAAACAAAAATGAATATAAAAGAGAAAAAGTGAAGAGAGTTGTACCTTGGGATGACCTGAAAAAAAAAACGACACAATGAAGACTTTGTTTCGCCGGCCTCGTCCGATGTTGAAATATAAGGGAATTTCGCAGTGTGAGAAGAAATTGGTTTTATCTAAAAATATTAAAAATTAAATAGCATTGTCCCTTAGAATTATCTTAAAGTTATACAGAAAGACATGCACAAACAACATAAAAGATATTTATTGGCTAAAACAAATAGTGGCAGTGACTCAAGCAATGGTGGAAAGCAGAGAAAATGATAAGAAGCCAACACAATCTTCAGAGTTATTCAAATTGAATTCCGAGGGCTCGGTGAAAAGCACTGAAAATGTCACTTTTTATATCCTCCACCATACATAGTATGGAGGGTATATTAAGTTCGACATTCCGTTTGTAACTCATCGAAATAATAATTTTAGACCAAACAAATTAAATATATATTCTTGATCAGCGTAAACTTCTAAGAGGATTTAGCCCTATTTGTCCGTCCGTCTGTTGTAATCACGCTACAGTCAAAAATTATTAAGATAGGAAGCTAAAATTTTGCACAGATCTGTCTTTTTTCTGCAAGCAGGTCAAGATCGAAGTTGGGCTTTATCGGTCCACGATATCGTATAGCACTCATATAACGGTTCCTCCCGTTATTAGGTTTTTTTTTGATGATTTTAGCCACATTTTTAATGGAATTGTCTGAAATTCTACGCAAGGAGTTCTTTAGAGTACTCTATTCCCTAAAAGAGAATTGTCTACACAGGTTCACGACATCGTATAGCCACCATGAACAGTACCTCCCATTTTCGGTATTTTGATTATTTTAGCCACATTTTTAAATGAAATTATCTAAAAATTCTCACAAGAATGTTATCTGAATTTTATTAAAATTATATAATTGCAAAAACTTTGTTCCAAAATCAAATTTGGCATTCAAAACACTGCCAACATAAAAACCTACAAACTGAAACAAACTTATGGAAAATAATCAAGGATACGCCTTTGTGGTGTCGGTATTTGAAAAATGCTCCTAGACCATTTATTTTAATAAACCAAACCCATTTGGAAATCCCACAGTGGCCAGACTTGTATTTGATATGGCCAATCTCAGGGGAAATTGGTTTGGGTCCACTGTGGGAAAATGATCAAGGATGCACCTTTGTGTTGTCCGTATGCGGAAAGAGCATCGAAAATGCTCCCAGACCTCTTATTTTGATGAATGAAACCCATCTGGAAATCCACCAGTGGCCCGACTTATTTTTCACATGGTCACTCTAAGGAGAAATTGGTTTGGGTCCACTGTGAAAAATGGTCAAGGATGCACCTTTGTGGTGTCCATTTTCGGAAAGAGCATCAAAAATGCTCCTAGACCACTTATTTTGATGAACCAAACCCATCTGGAAATCCAACAGTGGTCCCACTCATAGGAGGAATTAACCACTACGAACTCTAAATACCAAATTGTAAACAATTCCTATGAAAGATGTGACAAGAAACGTATAAAACCGAATATCTTGGGCTATACGAGAACGTAGGCCACTATATCCAATTAACTGCCACGGAAGGAATCACCCATTATGAACTCCAAAACCTACGTATGATATAATTCAGTTGAAAAACGTACGTAAAATCCTTACAGGGTGAGATAAAAAAATTGCAACAATGTCAAACGCCATAATTTTTACATTTTTTCAATTTTATTGAATGGAAGCAAAAAATATCGGAAATAGCATCAAATTTTAGAATAAGTTTAGATTTGTTCGAATTTATCACCTTTGGCACGAATTATGGCCTTCAAACGGCCAATGAAACCGTCAAACGCTGCCCGAATGTTGCTCTGCGGTATTTTGGCTCACTTTTGTGTTTTTTGGTGCCAATCTTGCTTTCCAAAATACTCCAGACACAATAGTCTAACGGATTGCTATCCGGAGATTTTGGTGGCCATTGTGCGCTGGAAATGAAGCGAGGAAGCCCATTTTATAACCATTCTTGGGTGGCGCGTGCTCATCGGAGAAAATCAATTTCGGCAGTTCACCATTTTCGGCAAAGCAACTCTTTAGCTCTTTTGAGTCTATTTTCTCTCGGTTGCGGTGTAAGTTCTTGCACTTTTTGGAATTTCAATGCCTCTACCCCGAGCTCGTTTTTCAATATTTGCCGAATGGAATATTGCGATATGTTAAGCTCATGAGCCATTTTTCGGCCACTGCGATAGCCTCTTGTGGTTTTCCAGCCAAATATGAAGAAATCACACAAATCACGAATACCTTTTTTTCTGGGAAATTCTCACCAAAATGCTTTTGTACTCTTGTAAACAATATAATGAGCTGTTACTGGAGTAATTTTAAGAGCTGTCGGACGAATGGCTAAGAAATGACAGCACTGTGAAATTGGTTCCAGGTTTTTCATCTCACCCGGTATACCCTCTGTAGCCATATGGCTGGGAATATAAAAAGCTCTGTATGTACCTGCACCTTTAAAGCAGTCAAAAAGCGTTTTATGTTTTTTTACTATAAATGATTCAATTTTGTCTTCCAATGCGCGATGAACTTTCTTAACAGAGTAAACATTTTGATAATAAAATTTGTTGTTCGTTTGTAAGACGATTCATGTTTAAACTATAGAACAAACTGAAAATGTTTAACAGTGAAACAAAACACGAAACGTGCGTGAGCTGTTTAAAGTAGGATTGCCAAATAAATAATTACCATAAAATCACCCTTTATATATAAGAATTTAAATCTTTAATGACATGTTATGTATCATCTTACTATTAAAATAGTTCTACTTTTTAAATTCATAGATGCCAATCAGCTTTTTCTAATTTCTATGTATGTCTCATGGGATTAAAGTTCAGAAAGTTTCTTCGCCAACGAAGAGACAGTTGGACAATAAAATTCATACAAAATTCAAATCAATTTTACACCTCAACAACAAATCTCACACGAAACGATTAGCATCTCAATTTCGACGAAAAATTTCCAAATACCATCGTTACAAATCTATTCATTTGGTAGAAATTCAAAATGGAGAGAAATATGAATGTAATATCTATGAAAAGATGAGGGTAATAAAATGAAGAAGCAGACATACAAACACAAACAGAAACCGAAACGGGGAAAGTGAAAGTTTGCCGTTAGGTTTGGTTGATTATATTGACATAAGTCGCAGTTAGTTTCTTCTCTTTCTCCCCCTCCCTGTCTCATTAACCATCCAGACTGAACTGCGTGTCATCAAAGTTATTAATTTTGTTTTGTTAGTTTCTTTGGGTCATATCTTATGAATGATCGTGGAATGGTATGAATGTGATAGACAGACGGAGAGAATGACTGGCCGGCCAACTGTCGTTTGAGTTATTGACAGGTTATGTGCAAATAAACAAATGAATATTGCGGAACCCCAAACATGGAAGAAGGGTATAATGACATGAAATCGGTAATCTTTACATAATGCCTTATTATGTATTGTTGTTATTGTAGTTGAACGATTATAAATATGTATGCAAACATTGCACGGTGACTATATGCCAGACACGACACGACTCGTCGTTTCAGTTAGATAATTTTTATTTCACCGTAAAATGGCAACATTGAACTTGAAGCGAAATTTTGGAAATGTTATCTAAAAATATAAATGATTCGAAATAAATAAATGTATATTTATATAATGAAATTGAAATAAATTTGAATTTGGCAAACCGTACATGGTGGTAAAATGTCACATATGGGCAAAATGATAATGGATCCTTTTCATATTGGTCATTAGTCCTGGAGTGAATTTGTTTCATTTGATATCGAAAACATTTCGATCGAATTGAATTTTAAATTTTATTTTAATTTAATTGAAAACAAGTAAAAAAGTATCGGTCGACAAATGTATACCCTCATCCAATGTTCGATTATTTAAAAATATTTTGGCTTCTGTTTTTATTATTCAAGCCATGGCTCAATAAGAAAGGTTGCTCAACTTCAAAGAAATTAAAAAACTGCAACTCTGCAAACTAAAATGAGCAGACAGATCCTCAATTCAATCGAAATTTTTATACCCTCCACTTTGAAAAGGAGGGTATATTAACTTTGTCATTCCGTTTGTAACATCCCCAAATATTCGTCGTAGACCCCATAACGTATATATATTCATAATCAGCATAAAATTCTAAGTCGATTAAACGATGTCCGCTTGTCTGTCTGTTGAAATCACAATACAACCCACGTTATTTGACGTAGAGCGTCAAAATTTAGCAGAACAAAATATATTGTGTCTAGGATGGTTGGTATTGAAAATAAGATATATCGGTCCACGTTTTGGTATAGTCCCCATATAACGGTACCTCTCGATATTCGGCAATTCGTTGATTTTTGCCACATTTTTACACGGATTTGTCTAAAAATTGGTATTTGTTGGTCGGAATGGGTTTTAGCTCCCTTGGCGAAACATTGTATGTGTAGGTGCACATTTTGTATAGTCCTATATAGCAGTACCTCCCGATATTCGGTTTTTTATGATTTTTCCCACATTTTCCAAAGAATATGTCTAATAAAATTGGTATTTGTGAGTTAAATGTTTCCTTTACCTTAAGTTGGAGCGTATTTCGGCCCGGCAGAACTTAATGTTTTTTTACTTGTTTTACATCGAATGCAAGAATTCGGACCCTGATTTATATTGGTGGTAGAGCCAATCTAATAAAGTCACACAGGAGGCTACTTAAGGTTACTAACATTTATTGAGCAGCTAAAACAGGCTTCGTTCTTTAAACATAGGTTTGGCCCATTCCAGCCTAGAGTGATAATGATTTTCTCTCTGCCGCCTTCAAATTTGCAATTTTTTCTTCTTCTTACATCTTTATCGAATTACCTACAGATACATAAAAATACCCTTTAGGACCCAAACATTGTTTCATATTCTTTCTGGTCTTTCTCTCTATTACAAATTTTTAAACCAACTCTTATCCTTCTTCCTTTTGCAGCAAATCACCCATCAAACAATTCTATGCCGGCAAAAATGTCTTCATCACCGGTGCCACCGGCTTTGTGGGAGTCACCATCATTGAGAAATTCTTGCGTGATATTCCCGAAATTGGCACTCTGTACATTTTGATGCGCGGCAAACGTGGCAAATCGGTGGAACAGCGTTTGGAAGAGTTGAAAACAAATTCCGTTTTCAATAAATTCAAAGAATTGAAATTGGAAGATCGTTTTGCCAAAATCCGACCCGTCGAAGGTGATGTGGGTCAAGATAACTTGGGCCTCTCCGATGCCGATCGTCAACTGCTCATCGACAATGTCAATGTTGTCATTCACTCAGCAGCCACATTAGATTTCTTCCAAGGTCTGCGCGACACGACCTGCATTAATTTGCTGGGAACACGTCGTGTTGTCGAACTCTGCTCACAAATTAAGAATTTAAATTCATTGGTCCATGTCTCGAGTGCCTATGTTAATTCCTATATCACCGAGGTTGAAGAGAAACTATATCCTGCCCCCGATGATCCAGAGAGAATTATAGAATTGGTCAGCAAATCAACGGACAAGGAGCTGAAAGAAATGGAACCTCAGTATGTAGTTGTGGTATAAAAGCACAAAAATATATATTAATCACTTTTTTTTGTATCCTTTTTATAGAATCCTCAAGGACCATCCTAACACATACACATTTACAAAGCATTTGGCCGAACATGAGGTTGCCAAGGCTTCGACACGTTTCGCCTGCGGCATTGTTAGACCCAGTATGAGTAAGTATGAGCCATCATTATTCGTGATAGAGTAGTGTATCTGTAATTGAAAGTTAGAATCGTGGATAGGTAGTAGAACAATGCAGAAGATGGCAATAGGAACGACTTTAAACTAAATTTTTCGGGAATTTCAAAGATTTCAAACGGTATTGAATGACGTAGCCCAGCGGCCCGTCCGGAATGCTCGGGTCCTCCAAAATGGTGAATTTAAAAAATTTCTAATTTTTTGTGTGTTGGATATCACCCCAAATGGTTTTGAAAGGCATACATGACTATGTCGCTTCCATGACAAATGCTACTTTGTAGGTTTTTTTTTGTTATTTAATCAATTTTATTTTTTTGAGAATTCTAGTTCACGACAATTTAAAATGACAAATTTACCAATAAATCCTGTTTTAATTTCACCAATAATGAATCCTATGGCAATCCAGGTCCTTAAGAGCAATATGGGAAAATTGCCTGTGAAATCTGGTGAATATTGCCTTTATAATTTCCATTCTGTTTGGCTTTATCTTAATAGAACATGCCATAAGAACATTTACTTAAGATTGCTGTTTTAAGGGGAAAACTGTATGAACCTTCCAATACTAAAGTATTGTCAAGCACAGAAAAGTAAATTAATTGGTCTGATCCACAACCTGCAAAATATGCTAGTTTTGCATTTGTTTACATCGGTTACCGTAGTAAACATTTTTCGTTTTTGAAGGTTCTGGAATAGATCAAGTATTCTGTCTTTTGATTACATTTTACAAAAACGTAATTGCTTTGAACCCCAAATTGTTGGCTACAAATAGAACCAAATTGTCAATTAGACAGTCCTATGACAGACTCCACATTGATCTTTTGCGATGGCTGTAGTATTCTGAAAGATTATCCACTGCTTATAGGTCATGTCCGTAGGCATATAGTTTTTACCATTGTATGGAGGGTATATTGATTTTGTCATTCTGTTTATAACTCCTCGATCATCATAAGATTCCTTGTCGATTTAGCCATGTACGTCCGTCTGTGGAAATCAAGCTAGGTCCCGAACGAAATGAAATGGGTTGATAGAATTCTGTTGAAATGTATTTTAGATCCATAACATTTTTGATATAGCCCCCATATAACTTACCCACAGATTTAACATCAGAAGAAATATCATTGCAAAGAACTGTCTATATAGATTCAAGTTTAGTATACAGTTATACGGCGATATATATGGGGACATATATTTAAAAGTTTATTATTTTGTTCTAAATTTAATTTTAATTATTTTCTTTCAGTTACCGCTGCCTGGAAAGAACCCATACCCGGTTGGACTATATCGAAAAATGGACCACAAGGTTTTGTCATGGGTGCCGCTAAAGGTGTTATCAGACGTTTGCCTTTAGACTCTAATATCATTATGGATTATATACCTGTGGATGTAGTCACAAATGCCATCATTACAACTGGTTACTATGTGGATGCTTTGAAGTAAGTTCAATGAGAATTTATTAATTTCCTATTCTAGACCAAAGCTTTTTGGACAGAAATGGAGAACGACAGGAAAGTCTTCTAATTATACAAAACCCTCTAGAAGGTCTTCCACATATAGAAGATCTACTGTAGGTTCTTTGTTTATGTAATCCCTAGTTAAAATCTTCTGGTTATTTTATACAACTGGAGTTTTTCCACTTTTAAGAATAAATGTAAAAGGCCTTTAATGTATAGGCGACCACTACAAGGTTTTCTATATAGAAAACCTCAAAATCTCTTTCCAAAGGCAGATGTTTATTTTTTTTATGGAAGATGAAGTTTTTAAATGGAGGATATATTAAATAAAACACCCTATGTTGATAAAAACCTTTTAAGGCCTTCTCTGCCGACCTCTCAAAGGTGTTGAATGTACGAATGTCTTCTTAAAGGTCTATGGAGTTTAGGAAATCTTTATTGAGGCCTGGATGATAACTCCGTGGTTAGTTTCATAGTTCAGTAAATTTAAAAAAGGTTTCCATGTTTTCGTTTCTGTTTCTCTCTCATCTTGACAAAGCTTTCAGAACTCAGTATCGTCATCACCCCATTTAGAATTACAGTCACCTGTTATTAGTCCCACCATAAGTTTTGGGGCTGATTTCGCCATGGATATAAGCGACCTTGATCTCTTCTCAGAGAGCACCGGTCAAATATTCTTAGAGACATTGCATCCCCTAGCCAGACTTGTTGAAATCTCCCGGAGTAATGTTTATGTATCACTCGGGAGTAGTGGCACAAATGTGGCTACACCGAGTTCTCCATCTCAAGATCAATTTACTGGGATACACGTTTTGCCAATTCATTCCCGGCGATGTTGAAATGGCCTGGAACTCAGTAAAGTTTAATGGACGACTTAAATTCTCCAGTAAGTTTCAACAATCCAAAACTGCTATAGATTTATTTATACATAAGTTTAGTGCTGTCAGGGCCGCTAGACTATTGACATATATAGTCACCAGTCCGTTCATTTCACTGTTTCTGTTTGCCAGCAGATCTATGATCTCTATCAAAGGTCTATGGAGTTTAGGAAATCTTTATTGAGGCCTGGATGATAACTCCGTGGTTAGTTTCATAGTTCAGTAAATTTAAAAAAGGTTTCCATGTTTTCGTTTCTGTTTCTCTCTCATCTTGACAAAGCTTTCAGAACTCAGTATCGTCATCACCCCATTTAGAATTACAGTCACCTGTTATTAGTCCCACCATAAGTTTTGGGGCTGATTTCGCCATGGATATAAGCGACCTTGGTCTCTTCTCAGAGAGCACCGGTCAAATATTCTTAGAGACATTGCATCCCCTAGCCAGACTTGTTGAAATCTCCCGGAGTAATGTTTATGTATCACTCGGGAGTAGTGGCACAAATGTGGCTACACCGAGTTCTCCATCTCAAGATCAATTTACTGGGATACACGTTTTGCCAATTCATTCCCGGCGATGTTGAAATGGCCTGGAACTCAGTAAAGTTTAATGGACGACTTAAATTCTCCAGTAAGTTTCAACAATCCAAAACTGCTATAGATTTATTTATACATAAGTTTAGTGCTGTCAGGGCCGCTAGACTATTGACATATATAGTCACCAGTCCGTTCATTTCACTGTTTCTGTTTGCCAGCAGATCTATGATCTCTATCAAAAAGCCTTACTTCAGTAGCGTTTGTAACCAACATTTCGTGTTCGACTTTTGTCCCGTTTCCATTCAAATATCATTGCAGTGAGCTGTAGCCCAACAAATATAAATAAGTAGTTTGCGCTGCTCCTTAATCTTGTTGCATTCTTAATTTTTTTATCTTTCGAGAATCATCTGACCTTCGACTTACACAAAAAGCCTCCAGACATATATGCTCTGTTCCAGTGCCTGCAAGAATCAGTTATCCTAGTAAAATTTTTTGAATTCTTGCAATTCTGAAACTGACCAATAATACTACTATACATACCTATGTGGACCTATGAACTTTTTTAATATAATATATTCGTCTTGGAAGACTCTACAATCATTATTAAGCTTGAATTGATACTTTGGAAATGACACCAGAACACTTATCTCTCTCACCATATATGTATGTATATATATTCATTGGATGACCTATGCTATGGTCAGTTCTCTCCCTCGGGAATGCGGAAATTTAATTGCTCGAAATTCATACTCCGTGGATTTTTTGAGTGGAGAAAGTTAGAGAACAACTCTAGTTCAGTAAAACTCTTCGATTTTTTTCAATTTTTTTCAGACATAGATATTTTTACCCCGATCCCAGGAAACTATTTTTTCCTTGGGGGACGGACTCGGGGCCCCAGATTTTTGACCCGAAAATCCGGGTTCAGGACCCGGATCCACTTACCCGATATAGACATCGTTGGAAACCTTATGAAAATACCTATCCAACAAGTGGTATTAGCACAAATTGTAGCATTTTGGAAAAGTAACAGTTTTGTTGACCCCTATAATGGCCCCCTTTTCGTTTTGTTGGGGGTTTTAAAAAAAATCCGGATCCAAAAAATTGATAATTTGACTACAACTTCCAAACGACTTAAAAATTACCTCATCATGTGACAATTTGTTGGATAGATATTTTCATAAGCTTTCCAACAATACCTGTATTTTCTATATCGGATACGTGGAGTGGAGTTTAGTCAGGGTCTTGAACACGGTCTTTCGGTGGTCCCGGGTCCGTCCACCAAGAAAAAAATAGTTTCTCGGGATTAGGGTAAAAATACTTACCTCGATAAAATCGAAGAGTTTTTACTAAACTAGAGTTAAGCCAAAGTTAGTAATGGTTACCAATGGGAATGACAGGGAATATAATAATTATTTAAAAATAATTCGCATGCTCAATAAAAGAGGAACAATATTTCTCCCCTAACAAAATAACTACGGTATTCCGAACTAAAATACCAACAGTGTTCTTTTTTCCAATTTCCTTTTAACCGCAGAATTGTAATTCACCAGCTATCTCACCATCTCTCTCATTGTACTCAAGTTAAATATTCATTTATTTGGTATTTGACTTTAAGGATTTTAGGTTCCTTAGAACTTCAGACTTGGGACGCTTGTCGATATATGTTGTTTCAAGTAAAATTCAAAATCTAAATATCAAATACAATTTAAAGTTTTCTCTTCATAGATAAAGTCATCCATCTTTTGGAAGCAGTTAAAATCACTTATTTTCTATACGAGCACCAGATTTTTATGTGTATATATTTTAATAAAACAGCTTCTTGAGGGCAATACTTGCAAATAGAGTTAGCATTTGCAAATGGCAATACTGATGACAGAAACCATAAAAGGCATTGCCATACAAATTTAATAAACAAATAAAAAATGATGCCAAGTTGATGTTTTCTCCCAAGCTCCTGAAAGTAGGCAGCATATTTAATAACTTAGTTTCCTCATCTAAATGAACCTAATCATTGTTAGAAACATTATGTTTAGCAATGCTGGTGGCTTAACGTGCTAGTCGTCGGTGGCTTGTTCATGTGTGTTTTCATTTGTTATACGGGGTAGTTGGTTCGATTCCCAGCGACGGTGAAAATATTTCACAAAAAAGAGCAATGGTGTTTTTCAAAATACCAAATGTTAAACATTGTGTGTGGGCCTCTTGCTTTGGCCGGGTTTTTCAAATCTCTATGAAATATCCCGTTTATGCGCAAGAAGGTAGATTAAACAACAAAAGCGAATTTGCCTTCGGTGCCCGTAAAGGTTATAAATCCTTGGGAATACTATCATCCTTGTTTCGCGTTACAATTTTTTTAAATTGATTTAACTTTTTTAGTTATTTTTTTTTAAATAAAAATGTAATTGATTTACCTTTTTTGCAGTTTTTATGCTTTTAATAATAAAAACTATGTTTTTCCTTTTTAGGCAAAAGAATGGCAACAAACCTGATCAATTGCAAATCTTCCACATGACCTCAAGTACCTACAAACCATTCCGATTTGATGGATTAGTACCTCAAATGAATGCTGCCATGCACGAATTCCCCCTCAAATCTGCTGTGTGGTAAGTAGAAGCTTTTGTCACACCTCCATTGTTTAAGAAATAACCAAAATTTTTCCCAAAAATATAGGTATCCCAATTTGAAGTTCGTCGACAACTTAACGGTATTCCGTATTGGTGCTATTCTCTTCCACTTTTTGCCAGCCATCTTTTTAGATCTTTTAACCGTGGTTACTGGCGGTAGGCCAATGTAAGTACTGCAATTGTATTATTTTGGATTCTGGGCTATAATTTCCAACCTTTTCCATTTCAAGTCTATTGAAACTCCATCGCAATGTTTGGAACTCCTTGAACACTTTGGAGAAGTTCATTTTCACTGAATGGCACTATGACAATAAGCTGGGCATTAAATTGGCCAAGTCTTTGGCTCCCGAGGATCAGAAGACTTTCTGTATTGACATTGGCACTTTGAGCTGGGAGGAGTATTTCAAAAATATGCACTTGGGTGTGCGTGAATATTTGAACAAAGAATCACCAAAGAATTTGGAGGCAGCCAAAAGCAAGGATAACATGTAAATATGAAACATTTTAATTATTTTAAGAAATCTTAGAAAGAAATGTTAATTTTTATTTTTTCTCTCCCTTTTCTTTTGCAGTTTGTTGTGGCTTCATTGTGCCCTACAATTGGCTTTCTACTATGGCGTCTTCCGTTTGTTCATCTGCTTTGGAATGACAAATGCGTTTGCCGCTCTATTTTTACCACTCGTCTACATGATTATGATCCGACTATAAATCTGACGTGCATCGACTTCAGTTATCCTTTAGTTTTATAAACTTACACTCCTCTGCTGTATCTTTTCTTTTAATTTATAATTTGAATTTCTTTGGTTTCTTTTTTTAATTTATATTCTTGTTTGGATGTTATACAATACAAATACATATACATACATATGTACTTAACGAAGTAATGGTATGGAAATATAATCATTTTGGTTGTTTTATTTTTTATCAGGGCTAGAAGGAATCTTCATGGTCATGAACTATGCTACTTGAAGAAGTTGTAATCTCCGTAACGGAAAAATATGAGGAATGAGATGAGTTAATTTTTCGTGGCAAACAAAGAACCTATCTGTTGCTTTTCTTCGTTCAATTATGAATAAAATGAAAACGTAACATTTTAATAATAACAAAACTAAACTTTTATTTGGTCATGATAATACATAGGAAGATGCATTATTTTTCATGCAGAAGGTCACTAATGTATATAAACACTTATTTTCCAACGTCAAGTGTCTCTATATTAGATTTTTAGAAACACCCACAAAGTATGTATATTCTTGATCAGCATAAAATTCTATGTCGATTTAGCGATGTCCCTGAGTCTGTTCGTCTTAGAAATCACTCTAGCTTCCGAACGAAATGAAGTAGGTTGATAAAAGGACTTTTGGTATTGAAAATGTCTGATGTAGGTCCACGTTTTGGTATAGCCCCCATATAATAGTACCTCCCTTTTTCGGTATTTTGGTGATTTAAGCGACATTATTCACCGGAAAAGTTTCAAATTTGATATTTGAAGTTCGTAATAGGCATGGTACAATAAAAAGGTAAGGTAAAGCTACCAGCTGATTACAATTTTTTTCTAAGTGTGTCCGACTTCTGCCAATTTTGTGTATGTATTTATTGTTTTCAAACAAGAAAATAAAATATTTTCAAAACCAATGATTGGAAGACACGTATATTGCGGCTCAGCGCATTAAAGCTATTAACCAGTTTAGCCATATATTTGAATGATTGAACAGTTTGGATTGGTTTGAGAGCATTTCGTTCATTTTTTGCGCTATTTAACTCATTTTAAAAATTAGGAAAAATATGAAAAAATTATAACAACAATTTTGAATGAGTCTGACAGAAAGCGGGCATAGCCTCAGGGCTGTATTTCTGTAAATTTACGAAGCTGTTCTACCTCCTTATTGTACCATGGTAATGGGTACTACCATGATACAATACGGAGGTAGAACAGATTCATAAAACTACAGAAATACAACCCTGAGACCATGCCCGCTTCCTGTCAAACTCATTCAAAATTATATACAACAAGTTGTTTTATTTTTTTTTTCATATTTTCCTCAGTTTTAAAATAAATTAAATAGCGCGAAAAATTAATGAAATGTCTGGATTTTTTGCTCAAAAATATGATTCAAACTGTTCAATCTTTCAATTTGATGGCTAAAGTGGCTAATAGCTTTGATGCGCGAGCCGCAATCTACGTTTCTTCCAATCATTGGTTTTGATAATATTTTGTTTTCATTTTTCAAAACAATAAATACATACACAAAATTGGCAGAAGTCGGGCACACTTAGAAAAAAAATTGCAATCAGCTGGTAGCTCTATCTTACCTTTTTATTGTACCATGGGTACTACCATGGTGCAATGATATCAAGGTAGGGCTATGAAACCATATGATTTTAATTTTTTTATTTTCTTGACTTAATATGTCATCTTTACAAGCCAAACAGGTAGACCTCTATACTTGCAATTTTTTCAAAGTTGACCTACCTTCTCTTCGTTGTACCATGGGTACTACCATGGTACAATGAATATAAGGTAGGCTAACTTTGAAAAATTTGCAAGTATAGAGGTCTACCGGTTTGGCTTGTAATGTCAGAAGTAGTATCAAAACAATATAATTACAAACAACTTGTTGCATTGATTTTGAATAAATAATTTAAAACCGCGAAAACTGAATGTAAGGTCAAAAATTTTTTTTCAAATTAATGTTCTATATATCTCTTATGGTTTATTTCGCGACAAAAACTGTAGATTTTGTCGATGCATACGTGGCAATAAGCATTTTGAAAAAACCCGAATATGAATATTTTCTGAACAATTTTTTTTATTACTGAAAAGAATACACACACACATAAACAAATGAAGTTGACGTATTAAGCCCGAAAAATAAAAAAAATTAAAATCATATGGAAGTTCTGCCCTACCTTGAATTCATTGTACCATGGTACAATGAAGAGAAGGTTGGTCAACTTTGAAAAAATTGCAAGTATAGAGGTCTATCTGTTTGGCTTGTAATGTCAGAATTAGTATCAAAACAATAACGAAATCAAACAACTTGGTGCATTTATTTTGAATCTCTAAAGGATTATTTCGCTACAAAAACTCTAGATTTTGTCGATGCATACGTTGAAATGAACATTTTGAAAACACCCGAATTTGAATGTTTTCTGAACAATTTTTTTGTTATTGAAAAGAAAACACATACATAAACAAATAAAGATGACATATTAAGCCAAGAAAATAAAAAATTAAAATCATATGGTATCATAGCCCTACCTTGATATTATTGTACCATGGGTACTATCATGATACAAAGTTAGTCTACCTTCTCTTCATTGTACCATGGGTACTACAGCTTATGACAGAAAATTGTCGGTGCAGGTCCACGTCTTCCTATAGCCCCCATATAACGGTACTTCCCGGTATTTGGTATTTTGATGATTTTAGCTACATTATCACCGATTTTTAGGTTTCGCATTTGAATACAGGGTGAGATGAAAAAACTGCAACCAACTTCAGACTGCTGTCATTTCTAAGCCACTCGTCCGAAAGCGGTTAAAATTATTCCAGTGGCAGCTTATTATATTGTTTACAAGCGTACAAAAGAGTGAGAATTTCCAGAAAAAAAGTGGCGACTTGATCGAAACCCCTCGTCGCAGTGGCCGAAAAATAGCTCGTGAGCTGAACATTTCGCAATATTCCATTCGTCAAATATTGAAAAATGAGCTCGGGATAAAGCGATTGAAATTCCAAAAATTGCAAGAACTTACACCGCAACGGAAAGAAAATAGACTCAAAAGAGCTAAAAAGTTGCTTCGCTTGGCCGAAAGTTGTGAGCTGCCGAATTTGTTTTTTTTCCGATGAGAAAACATTCGTTGTCCAGCAGTTTGTAAACAAACAAAATGATCTTGTTCACTTGCCAAAGAGATCAGCTGAAAATGTGCATCTTTGGTTGGCCACCAGAACTAAAGGGCCGACCATGGTGATGGTGTGGGCCGCCATAACAGCCGATGGTCGCTTTCGCTCGTATTAATCGACAGTGGCATCAGAATAAATGCCGAATATTATCGCGAAAATATTCTGGAGGGTATATTAAATCCTTGGGCACGCAAATATTTTGGCCGCAGAACTTGGACATTCCAACAGGACTCAGTACCATCGCACCACCCAAAAATGATTACAAAATGGGGTTCCTTCATTCTTCATTTCCATCGCACTATGCCCAACAAAATCTCCGGATACTAATCCGTTGGACTATTGTGTCTGGAGTATTTTGGAAACCAAGGTTGGCATTAAAAAATACCAAAGTTTCGATCATCTCAAGCAAGCGCTACGCCGGGAATGGGTCCAAACACTGCAGAGCAACATTCGGGCAGCGTGTGACGGTTTGAAGGCCATAAATCGTACCAAAGGTGACCAACTCGAACAAATCTACTGATTTTAAAATTTTAATATATTTCCGACAAATTATGGCGTTTGACTTTGTTGCAGTTTTTTTTTTATCTCACCCTGTATTGTAATGGCTTATGACAATAGTTACCTATGCAGGTCCATGTTGCCGTGTAAACCCTAATATTATATTTCATATAAGCATTCCCATCTCTGCATTTTCTGTAATTTTCCTTGTCACATTTCACTACATAAAAACAGGTTTCCATGTCTGATTTGTGTATGTACAATGGATTTATAAATACAAATTTTGACAATGAGATGTTGTCAAATGAATATTTTTTGAAAAAAATTTAAACAAATGATTGCATGACTTGATCTCCTTGATTCTACCATTTATATAATAATGGTACAACGAAATAAAGGTAACCTCATTTTCTCAGTTTTTGTAATTTACCTTGTCAAATTTTAATGTATAAGAACAGTTCCCATCTCTGATTTTGTGTGTATACAATGGATTCATGAATATAGATTTTGACCATGAGATGTTGTCAAATGTATAAATTTGAAAAAAAATTGTAAACATATGTTTACGTGACTTTACTTTTTAGTTCTACCATGGATATAATATTGAATGGCATATGTATGTGTTGGAATTTCGACAGAAAACAGGAAACCCAAGAGGCAATATTTTAAAATTTTTGTATCGACAAAACATTTTTCGACAAGTGACTCTCCAACCGAATTAAAAATAAGAAAAATAAAAAAAAATATTTAAAATGTCAACATTTATACAAATACTTCAAAACATGTATGAATTGTTAAATGAAAGGAGGAAAAGCAATAATTTCTTCTATTTTTTGGTCTGTTCCAGAACTGCAAGAATGTAAAAGTTTTTACTACAATAACCGATTTTCCCTTTATGATATCGAAAAAAATTGCAATACTTGTAGATTCTTGCTGGTTTTGGAACAGAGCGTTTATTAATGCTAATTTCATGTACTTTCATACAAATTCCTATAAAAATCAACAAACAAAAATTTTGAAATAAGGAATTATGCATTGTAGAAGAATATATGTAGATGTATCAACGCTTGGGAACATTGAAATGTCAAAATTTTTAAAGTGTTTTATCAAAAATAAGAATTTTTATTCAGAGAACGAACAACGTGATTGAAAGTGCAATGAGAACATAGCATAAGTCGAATAATCGACTATGAAGTGTCGAGTACTCGGTTTTCACCCAAGTCCATAGTCGAGTTCGAGTTTCAGAACTCTGAGTACTAATAGTCGATTATTCGATTAATCGGAAGTCGAATTACCTATCTTATCAGCCGAAAGTCAATCTGGGGAAACCTAACGATTTGTGATCATTTTTTTTTTCAGTTCCAAAAAAATAATTAATTGTGTTGCGCTGTCAGAATGAGAAAAAAAATATTTCGGTGGAATGAAAAGTTATTATTTTCCTAAATACGTCAGTGAATGCATTTTTTAAGATTTTGTTTGGCAAATTAAACAAAAAATATAACGTGAATAACTTTTGTCGAACAACATTTCAAGAAAAAAACCAACTGAAAATATCGGGAAGGAAATACGAAAAGATACGGTAACAACGAAACGAGAAAAACAATAGAAAAATAGTTAAATTTATTTAGATTAATAGTCTCAACGAAAAACAAATTAGAGTAAAACAACAAACTAGTTTAGTTTTAGAAATATATTTGGCTTTTAAGATTGAAATAAGAATAAAATTACTTTCGTTGCAATCCCATACGCGTATTTCACAACGTATTCCGTGTGTTGTTGATATTGGGTTTTTGTGTGTGACACCAAGAAAAAGTGTGTAAATATTGAAAACATATTGAGACAAAGAAATTCCATAGCCAAAAGAATTTAAAGCAGCGCCAATTATTCTTACATCTCTACCACCCCGCCCGATCTTCTTCAAAAAGAACATTACAATCACCCACAGATTCATTTTCCCCCAGTAAGTACTCCACTATCTTTGCAGTTTTTTCTGTCATATTTTTTTTTTCTTTTTGGCTCAACTGATTCTATCTTTATTGGACTTTCTCTTTTGTTGTGAACTTTATCGGCAAGTGTGTTTGTGTTGCGTCGTATCTTGCGTCGCTTTTGATATGCTTTTGTTGTTGTAGTTGTTGTTGTTTCCACTTTATTTTTATCTCATTGAATTATTTTATTAAGTTGTTTTTGTTTTATCAAAGTCACCTGCTTTTCTATCAACGAATGTTGTCGTTGTTGCTGTTTTATGAACTTTTATTTAATGATGTGGTGTACGTTGTTTTCCATTCTCTCCCTCTCTCTCACTTATTTCTCTATCTTGTTGTTTGTAAAAGCCATTTTAATTTGTTATTAAATATGTGGGGGATGGGGGCATTTGTAATGTTTGTAATGACAGTAGTTGACCAATTTTGTGTTTTTTTTTGGTATTTTAATAAGTAACCTAGCCATTTGTGGCCAAAAATTGTGATATCTTTGTGCAAAAGAGATTTGAGTTAATAAGAAGAGCTGCAAGAAAAGTGATCTGTCATGTTGCTCGTTCTCATGCAATCAGCTGTTTGTAATTAAATTGCATCAGATTAAATTTGATTTTTTGCCGGAAAAAAGTATTCGTATTACGGCTAAAATTAAAGGGTTAATTAATAAATATCGTGACTCCTGTATCGAAATACGTATACGATGAGTGTAACGTGTGTGATAGGCCAATTTTGAGCAATAACTGTTACGATTATGTGTGTATCTATGGTGGATATGCTTCCAATTTGGAATGTCCGTTAAAAAAGACCATACCCCGGTGTTGCCGAGGGGGTCCACATCGTTTGAAATTGTATTTTTATAAAAAAGTACTTATAAATTTTGGAAATGGGTTTATAATGCATTCGTGGCTACTTAGATTCCTGACATTCTTAAAGAAAGAGGCATACAGGGTGAGATAAAAAAAACTGCAACAAAGTCAAACGCCATAAATTTTACATTATTTTTTTTTAATTTTATTGAATGAAAGCAAAAAATGTTGGAATTAGCATCAAATTTTTGAATAAGTTTAGATTTGTACGAATTGGTCAGCTTTGGCACGAATTATGGTCTTCAAACGGTTAATGAAACCGTCACACGCTGCCCGAATATTGCTCTGCGGTATTTTGTCCCATTCCCGGCGAAGCGCTTGCTTGAGGTGATCGAGACTTTGGTATTTTTTAGTACCAACCTTGCTTTCCAAAATACTCCAGACACAATAGTCCAACGCATTGGTCATTGTACGATGGAAATAAAGCCATTTGGCTCGTTCTGAGTGCGATAGTGATAAGTCCTGTTGGAATGTCGATGGTCTGCGGCCAAAATGTTTGCGTGCCCAGGGCTTTAATACAACCTCCAGAATATTTTCGCGATAATATTCGACATTTATTCTGATGCCACGGTCGATTAATACGAGCGGAGAGCGACCATGGGCTGTTTTGGAGGCCCACGCCATCACTATGGCCGGCGCTTGAGTTCTGGTGGCCAACCGAAGGTGCACATGTTTAACTGGCCTTTTTGGAAAGTAATCGCAATCATTTTGTTTGTTTAACTGCTGGACAACGAATGTTTTCTCATCGGAGAAAACCAAATTTGGCAGTACACTAACGATAGCCACTTGTGGTTTTCCAGCCAAAATATAAAAAAATCACACTATCCCAAAAATTATTTTGTACGCTTGTAAACAATATTATGAGTGGCTTAGAAATGACAGCAGTCGGAAATTGGTTGCAGTTTTTTTCATATCACCCTGTAGTTATGGTATTCATATTGTGGATTATTAGATTGAGTAAGTCTGTTGATGAAAATAGTTTTAATAATAATTGCACTGTTCTTGAAACTTCATCGTAGATACTTGCATTTTTTTTTCGATATCATAAAGTCAAAATGGGTCATCGCAGTAAACATTCTTATAGTTCTGGAACGGACCAAATGTTGTATTTATAGTTATGCAGAAAAATCCCATCACAATAGATTGAATCATCATATCGGGTCAAAGCTATGAGGATAAGTATTGGAAGCAACATGCGAAACATAAAATATGAGCAAATTTATACAAAAAATGTGCTTTATTTTAAAACCAGACCAACCTATAGTATCTCTTAGTTTGATGCAAGAAAATAGGCTTTCTGAAGTGAGCCCGAAGTAACGCCCTTGTGTCTTTGCGGCAAATTCTTAAAATGTCTTTCATTTAGAATTATCCTTCAGCATAGCATCTAATAGCATTGTACGCTATATCCAGTCATATAATTCGAGAACAAAACAGAACAAGCCTTGCTATAGAACAGTTGCTTTGAGAATGTCAAGAAACCTACTCTCCGGTCATGATTGCAACGTTGAATAATCAACTATATGTATGGACACCAGTCGTACGTGGAATTTCAATTCCCGTGGAGTGAAACTGGGGTTTCGCCAAGGTTGGGTAATTTCTCCGAGACTGATTTATTTCTATATTTCCTAAAATTCGCCGGAAAATATGCGAATTATCATTTCCTATCTCACCGATCTTGCCGCCCGCCCGCTAATCGGCACCATTTGGGGTGCGGACAAGAAGTCATTGTTGAGCTCTAATAACGTTATAGTTCGGTCTGTGATAAGCTGTGCGGCGAATTGCGATAGGGCCATCCTTCATGACACCAGGCTATTGTTCTTTCAACTTCAGGAATCATCCAAATCATTATATGCTGCATAGAACTCCCCCACCCAGCCACCTAATGATGATCTAACTCGATCCAGGAAGCTATCAAGTCAAGTGCCTTCCAATGGACGAACACGTACATGTATTGAAAAGAGTCAGATCGGGCACAGCAGTATGAGCTGCTACAACAACTGACTTCTAATTCAAGAAGTCCTAGCCCTTATAACGTTATAGTTCGCTCTGTGATAATCTGTGCAGTGAATTGCAATAATGCGATCCTTCCTGACACCAGGCTATTGTTCTTTAACGTCAGGAACCATCCAAACCATTATATGCCACATAGAACTCCCTAACCCAGTCATCTAATGATGATCCAACACGAACCAGGAAGCCATCAAGTCGAGTGCCTTCCAATCGAGAAAGCCTTTCTTGAAATACGTGAATTCATTAAGCTTTGTTTGATCCCAGGACATAGCAACATAGTGGGGATTGAAATGTCTGATGAATTGGTTCGAGGTGGTTCCCAGTAAAACCCCCTACTAACTATTTTGTCAGCCGATATAAAAAGACTCTCATCGAAGAAGCTGGTAGATGATGGTACCAGGTAACCGGTTGTAAGGTATCTAGGGCTATCTGTTCTTTTGATTAGTAGGTCCGATTTAAGAACCGTGGTGGGCATATTGACTGGTCACTGAATATATCTGACCTCTATCTGCGATAACGGTAGTTCCGAATACTGTATACTATGTGAGTACGAATTAGAGGTAGACACGATGGAACATCTACTATGCAGATGTCCCACGCTGCAAACAAGAGCCGTAGACTGTATGTGCCGTGCACCCACGGCAGAAACTCTCACGTTCTTCTCAGACGTAGATCCCATCATCATCCACAGGTTTGCTAAAATCATATCATGTCTAGGCAAGCCTTCTTATAACTAGATATCTCTATCATTTCTTTCTTTCCCATTTATATCTTGCCCATCAAAACTCTTCTTTCTTTCCAATTTAAATCGTTGTTTTCATAACTAATTCTCCTTAGGATAAACACAATGGACTTATGTTATCCGAGTGAAGCAGCAGCCGACACCAGTGTTGTTGCGCATCCTGAAATCTAACCTACACGATCTAGTAAGGGAGGTCTTACATTGTAAGGGCAGTCTCTAGATCAAGAAACTGCTGTCACAATCCTGGCACGTTCAACTTTTTTGTTGTAGCAAACCAAAAATTTCAGAATAGACTGATTTGACAATCCTTGGCTAAGTAGAGCTTTGGTTATAATGGATTGTAGATCCGACCGTCGTGGCAACGATCTGCGCAACTTTTGAATGTTGTGCTCTTAATGTATCTATACGTACTGCCTCCATATTATTATTATTTTTTTGCTATTTGGAATATCATGCAGTTTTAAAATTAGTTACAAATAAACTAGGACAATTACTAGTAAATTCCATTAAGTTATCGAATTAAAAAAAAAAAAACAATTAACCTTTGATGAAATCACGTAAAAATCATAAAAATTACTTCTCGACAAAGGTGGCATAGTTTTGAATTAATCTAAAATTGCTCGAAATAGCAACAATTTTTCTTGACATTTTTGAAGGAAGATTAATGGGTCTCCTACCCAAAATGGTTTTGAAATGCATTTATGGGTTGCGGCACTGGTCTACTGATTCAGGAAGGATTATGAGGTCATGTCCATTCATATTACACAAAAATATGCACATTGAACTCATTCCTGGAAATCGTCAATTGGGTGCCGCGATGTGAGGAAAATTGTTTTTCATTAGTATAAAGATTGTTTACAAATATGTTTGGATTTTCCCATGCCTGATTATTTACATTATTTGTAAATTGCGTGTTTATACTCTAGTCTCTTCAAATCGGAACATCAGTCTGCTGGTGTATGTAAGGTGAGTTAAGGGAATTTCCAAACTGTTTTCAGTAGTGGGAGGAGGGCTTATTTGTGTTTAAGTTGCGGAAGTGTTATGGCATACAAATTAGTACAGCTTTTTGTTGAATATAGATCTCCCAGGTATGGGAAGGGAACAACCATGTGGAACAAAGACCATTTGTGATAATATATTTTTTTCTGTTAATGGAATAGCAGACCTACCCATTTTTTTATTTTTGGATTATATTTATTATAAGAGTGAATAGAGGACATTTTTTCTTAATTAATTTCATTATATATCTATCGAAAATTAGTTCTATCTATAGATGATCCCTTTGGAATATTCTGTCTTCAAATTCACTACTTATGTTTGCATAGTGTCTAATAAATTTGTTATTTATATATAAAGGTCTATTAAATAT